GGGACTTGCCGGGCGGGCGGTCGTGCCGGACCCGCGGGGCGCGGGAGCAGCGGGGCGCGATGTCCGCCTGGGAAGCGCTGTTGCCTCTTGCGGTCCAGACGCGTACTTTGGCTTAGGTTTCTTCTAAGACTACTGACTGTAGGAAGTCTTCGCCTGCTCTGTTTTTCTGTCTGCGTTAACCCTCAGTTGGGGCAGTATAATCGGTTCTGCGGCTGGTTGGCGAAACAGATCCAGAAATGCCTTGTGTTAACAACAGTGATTTTTTTCTTCAGCTGTTTTGAACCATGATCGCTTCTGTAAGCTCGCTACGGCCATGTAATGCTTATACTGGCAAAGCTAGGGGAGATATCGCAGGGTCTAGAATAAGCAGAAGGAGAATAAAACCAGTTTAAGCCAACGTTCTTTCCGAGGGTGATGTTCACCAAACTATCAAACTGTAGCCTGATAAATATAGTTTGTGCCTTATGGATAGTTAGAGCTGGTCATCTATGCCCTAGTTCATGCAACTTTCTAATAAATTATTTCCTGTTTGATAGCAGTGTTCTTCTTCACAGTAACAGGATAAGATGCCAGCTGATGTAATGAACTACTAGAGCTGAGAATCTAATACCCAAGTAATAGTCTTTTGGGTATTTACAAAAACAGAGTATACCAAACCCAGTCAATACACGATGTAGACTTCTTTCTATTTCAGAGGAGCGGGGCTGCAGGATGCCCTGTTTTCTGACAGTTGTGTTTTAGCAGGTAGTCTTTGCCATTTATTCTTTGGATTTAGCGTCACATGGATCACTGTCTTTGCACTGGATCCAGGAATCATTGGACTGTTCTGCGGTAATTTTAAGTCACTAAAGGGACTTAAGAACTTTAAGAAGAAAGTAACTTCTTTTTTGGGTTAGTTTTTGCTCTTTTGCTGGATTTGAATGGTGCATAGAGGGGCCTAACAGAGCCAGCACAAAGTGAGCAGCGAGGAGGGGACTGCCCATTTGTATGTAGTAAACTGCTTATCAGCTCATGGCTTCTCCAAAAATGAAAGCTGAAGTTCTGTTCCAAAGAAACAGATGCTTACAGTGTTCCAACACTTGCCACAACAGAGCTGTAGAATCTGCTTTATTGGATCATCGTTTTTAAATACATTACTCTCTGATTTCAGGTAGATCTGACGAGATGATCTTTGCTTCCAAGGTAGCAATGCAAAACAGTTGAATGAAGAGATTTTGCTGTTTCTGCTCTCACGGCTACCGTTTACTAGCTTTGTTTTGCCTGAAATGCATTGGAGTGTCTGGATAGTAGCATGAGTATGTGCACTGGAACGTCTAATGAAGACTCCTTGCTGCAGTTGAAGCTCTCCGCCTTGCTCCCTGACATTACCATAATCATCATGAGCATACTAACAATGCTTAGGAAAAGAAATTGACTGAATGTGGAAAAATGGGGGGGCTATAGAAGATTTAGTTAGTGTTGGTTAATTCTGGCTAACCAGCTGCCTTTTTTAAACTTAGGTGAACTAGTTGTTCAAACTGACAGTTTTAATTGTCCTGAAGTGGTATAGTCATTCCAAGGAGCAAAGTGTAATAAAAGGTAATAAGCACTTAAGAGCAAAAGAATAACGGTGATACCAACAAATCTACAGGCCAGCATATGCAATACGATGGCTTAGATCACAGTCAGTTTTATCTGAAACTAGCTCAACAAACAAAAATCCATCCGTAACTACTTCTATGTTTTCTGTCTGGTGGGGTTTTTTTCTCCCCTCCCACTGGAGTGCTAATTAGAATTTCTCATTTGGGTATCAAGAGCCTAAATCCTTCTAAAGAGGCTAAAGAAATAGTCTTTGAAGCTGTCTCCCAGGACAGGGTTGGAAAAGTGATAGCACTAGTTTCAGTGTATTGCAATCACATACTTCCTGTTTTGGCTGCTATTGACAGGGTTTACTGACGTCATCAGTTATAGTTCAAAGCGTCTGGGTCTGTGACGAAAAAACTTAGAATGGATTTCCAAATCTTTCCATAATAAATGCAAGAGATTGGTAAGGAAAACTGCATGGACAAACCAGTAGTAGCTCCAACTTAGTACACAGAAACTTGTTCTCGCTTACACTTCTTTGTGCGCTAGTAAATTTCAGCAGTCTGTTAATCATTGTTCCTAAAAGGATAGAAACATTGTGTCATGTACAAAGCACCACCTAAGACTTGCAATCAATTGGCTTCAACTTTTTGGGGTAAATGTCGAAGAGCCGAAAAACTGGCCATCAAAACCAGTCAGAGTAACAGCTTAAAATGTCTCTTTGATCATGCAAAAAGCTCTCGCACAGCACTCAATTATTTGCTTGTGTTACAGAAAGCAATAGAACTTGCTAACAGGGCAGCGCAAGAAGATAAAGCAGGAAACTATGAGGAAGCCTTCCGCTTGTACCAGCACGCTGTGCAGTATTTTCTCCATGTTGTTAAATGTAAGTGTAATGTAATGGATGATTAAGTAGAGTTTAGTAGTCAAATTGCACAGAGTAATCTCTTACGTTGACATCAGTATTTAAATTTTTACTTTCATCATCAGTTGGTACTTGCTAATTGTGGTTTGACTGAGGTCATCTATTTTGCAGCTTTAGCTTTTACTGTGCTGCGTGCTTGCTCCATTCTCGTAAGAAATGGGATTACTTGTGTTTTGTTTTAGGGTTTTTCTAAGACAGGGAGGCAGGGGTTTGCTGTCTCTCCTCTCGACTTGTGTAGCAATGTTTCAGGCTGGCCACTGCGCATGAGGAAATGTGACAATAAGTACAGGGATCCCTGTATTTCTTTTGTGCTGAAAACCACATGTTATACAAGAAGTCTTTGTTGTATCTACGGAGCGCTTTTTGCTCCTTAACTCATGCCGCTTGCCCTTCTACAACCTCTCTGCTGGCATTTTTTGCTCCTTAATGTCATAGTCTTGCTGTTCATCTTGGCCAACAAAATGTATGAGATGGATTTGTATGTTGTAATTTTTCTTCAGTTTCCATATTCTCATAATTATTATTTTATGCCTTTCTTTTCACACTTCTGTGTACCTTTTGCGTCATGTCCAGTGTTAGTAGGCAAGGAGTGGGCTTTCTTAATGTAGGTACATCCCTACTCTAAGTGGGCTAGGGTTGCTCGCCTGACATAAGTATACTTACAGACCTCTGTACTATTTTCTTTATAGTGACTTAGGATAATGTGTGTTTATCGCTTCCTATCCATATATGTCTTACGGACTTATCAGAATATCACTTTCTGTGCTTTTAACAGTACCGATGTACTTTTCAAAACTTGACACATAAACCTAACGTTAAATTTTGATTGCTGATTTGAAATACTGTAATAGTGACTAAGAGAACAGTGTGGCTGTTGAATCACACCTAACTCTTGCAGATGTTTTATTTAATTTTTTTCTTTATGACATGAACGTCTTTTTAAAATTAGCAGGCTATGGAAAAATAAACTGTGTTTCTAAATAAAAAATGCTCAGCACAAGCAGCTTCTTGATGAGCTATTTTAGAAGAGGAGTTATTAAGACAATGTGTAGCAGCTTGAAAGGCTGACAGAAAAGCTTCCGGTGCCACTGTCCTTAATCCTTTACAGTCACATTTTAAGCCAAAGCAATGTTCAAGTGTATATTTGATTTCTGGTAGGTGATGACATCATTCCTGTCACTTCTTTCCATGGTATAGTGGAAAAATAAGTAGTTGAGGTGTTTGGTTATGTGGTGAGCCCTGGGAGCAGTATATTGATAAGATAGAAAGAAGACAGATTTAGTCTTGTTTTCTGATTGATGCGCATGTGTTTTGCTGTTAACAAAGCATTGTTTCTCTTCAAACTCTTAGATGAAGCACAGGGTGATAAAGCAAAACAGAGCATTAGAACGAAATGTACAGAATACTTGGACAGAGCAGAAAAGCTGAAAGAATATCTGAAAAAGAGAGAAAAAACTGCACCAAAACCAGTTAAAGAGTCTGGTCCTACTGATGGAAAAGGGTATGTTTTTGGAGAAGGTAAAGCAAAATACTTCCTGAACTCAGCTTATTCTAAAATTCAACTCTTCAAAGATCATTTTAACTAGTGTCTTTGAAATGCTTCAGATGACAATTAATGCTGAAATACAGTGGGCTAATAAAAGAAAAATAATGTGAATTAGCATCACAGGCATTTCTGTGCTTGTTTACTAAAATGTGCGAGCATTTGCACAGGAAATTCACTGAAGAATGAAAGCTGTTTCAACTAACACGTGCTTATCGGATTTAATGGCAATGAGCCCAATGACCCTCAAAATTTTTCTACATTTAAATACTTACTAACTAGAAAATAAATTCCAACTGATTGTTACCATGGCCTGAGTTTGATCCGTCTCACACTTGATAAGAGGTGCAAAGCTCTATGTAGGGTGAAGTTCTGTAAGATGGACTGAATCACTCGAATGCCTTGCTGCTGCCTAGTCTCTCCGCTGCTTTCCTTTTATTTGTTTTTCATTTTGCGCATCAGAGAGCTGAACAAGCAGAGCCACCTGAAGAAGCAGAGCCTCTTTTGCATTTGCTACTGCCTTTACTGGGATAGGAGAGAGGAAGGGTTCAGGATGATACCTTCTGGTGGGACTGCCCGTTTTAGCAGTCCTGAACAGCTAGAGTTGCTCAGTTGTCTCTTGAAACTTCACCTGATTTTCAGTCTCCTTCATTGTCTACTTGTCTCATCAGTTTTATTTTTTGAGCTGTACTGTGTTCTGCTGGTTTATAATAGAAGGAATTGGTGATATCACAGAGGCTACATGTATTTTCATGACCTCCGCTCCAATTGTTCGCTATCTAGTCTCTTTTTTTTCCTCCTTTAACTTCGGTTTACTTTGCTCTGACAAGACGAGGGTGTAGAGTTTTATAGTGCTAGATGGAATTGACCAAGTCCTGTTGCAATTCCAGGTAGGGGATAAGTGCCAATGTCTACAAATAAACCATTTTAGCACTTCCATGTTGCTCAATACAAGGACTTTTGTTTCCTAGAGGCTGTCTCAAAGCATGCAGAAGCGGGTTAAAAGGCCTAGACCCAGAAGAGGAAGTTGAAAGGGTGAGGAGGGCGAATTAGAAAGAACGTAGTGTAGAAAAGCAGGAGTACAATCATGTAAAGTTGTAAAGATCTGAAAGCATCTCAAGGTTTCTTTCATTCCTCAGACTGGTGTTTTTTCTGCTTTTTGCATTCTGATTTTTATCCTAAGACAGCAGTCTCTTTTATTGTATTTCAACGTTTTTTCTTGTTTGCAAATCAGGAATGACAGTGATGGGGAAGGAGAGTCAGAGGATCCTGAAACAAAGAAGCTACAGAATCAACTTCAAGGTAATTTTGAAGCATCCTTTTCTTTAAATAGGGGTGACTTCAGTCAAGCAAATTCCTATGTTTTTCCCACCTAAATGTTATGAATTAACTTACTGTCTGATAGTGGCTCGACTAGTATGTACTTTTCACATACAAAAGCATAGTCTTTATGGAAGTATGGGTTTGTATGCCATGAAATTATACAGTGACTATGTTGAAATTTATCTCCTGTACCCTGTGCTTCATACTAAAATTATACCATTTGTCAGGATAGCATTTTCCAAAGGGAGAAGTTGCAAGATAGCTATTGGCAGGTAGCTATTGGCTAAACTGAATCAGTATTTTTCACTCTTAAAAGTGTGTTAGAGTGTTGCCTAGAGGCTAAGGTAACAGATGTCATACAAACAGTGTAAGCAGGACTGTTTTCAAAAAAAAAAGCTTGTGCTTAAGTTTAGGAGTTGAGAACATGGATGCTTGCCCATTTATAGTAACGGGCAGCATTTTCTCATATGCAGTGATGATGCCCTCCCAGCTGAATAACATGATAGTTTGGGTTTTTGAACTCAAATGCTGAATACAGTGATGCAATGTATAACAGCTACCAGTAGTTTTGTACACAGTAAAAAAAGAGGCATTGTTTGATATTTACTACCCTTTAATGGTGAAGAATTGTTCAGAGCTTCCGTGCCAGAAGGTGCTTATTGATCTGAAGAAACTTCATTGTGTTCTCCCTATTATTCAGTGTAACAAAGATCAAATGCATTTACCAGATTTCTGCTTGTGTAATTTCAGGAGCTATTGTATCATATTTGGAAACTGTGCCATGCTTTTTCTACTTCTGTATGCATTTATTTAATCCTATGCACAGTTCTCTGGAACAGTTTCCTATATTTTAAAATGACAGAAAAATGATGAGCATTGGACTCTCATCCTGTCTCTCACTATAAAGACTTCATTTTTTCCCACGTGAATCAGACCTTCAGTTCTTACTTCAAGAAATAGTTTCTTGCACCCACCACTTCTTTGATACTTTTTATAAAATGACAACGTTCTTGCTTATACAATTGATTGCTTGAAAGTCTGAGGTGTGAGATCCTTGGTACCTTTAAACTTAACACAGGAGTCTGTTACTCAGATCATACGAGCTCTGGGCAGCCTTCAAATTAGTCATCTTCATTTTGCTTCCCACAACAGCCACAGAAATTTCCTGTATTTAATTTTGCTGCTTTGTTACTCCTAGCTGACTTTGCTTTATGGAACTTTCCCAAATCTATGGGTATTTATCAAGATTTTAATTGCAATAGCAACTTGGCTTATTGTGGGAGAAGTGACCAGTAACATTCAGACTGGATAGTAGTTGTGGGTCTGTTGTCATGTGTTCTTGTTTAGAATTTTAAAGGCCTTTTGCACTCTATTGCTTAATCTTCTAGCTATTAATTTACACCTACAAAATTAGGAAGCCTACGATTCCAGTTCTATTTGTTTCCTGGTACAGGTGATCTCTTATAGTGCAGTAATTTCAGTTACCTTGGTATGACTGGTGCAGATAACGCTGATATTTCAACTTTGAGATAATCTCCTGTTCCTATCTGAACTGTTACCTGTTCTGCTAATTATTTTAGTGATGGAGCACATAGTTCTGTTCACTTTAAGAAAAAATGAAATGTAATCAACCTAGCAAAATAATTTAATGCATTGGAAGTGGGTGGTTGAATTAATTTCAGTATATAGATTGCAAGCTAAGACAGTTTGCAGTCAGCTTTCTCTATAACATTTTTAACATCTTTAACAATATGATGTGGCTTTTGGACTCTAAATTCCAAATTGTTAACAATTGCAATTGTTAACAGAAATTGTTCATGTCAATCTGACGGAAAAGGAATGCAGCAAAAGAAAAAATCTCAAAGGACATACTTAAAAAGTAAGCAAGTGTTATTTGCTTTGTTCATTAGCCAGTGAGTAACAGTAAATTTTCCATCCTGTAAAAGAAAAAAAGCCTTAAATTACTTCAGAGCTCTGAAGGCATAAAGTGAAAGTGTCAAGAAAATAGCTGGTGAAAGCCAATTGTCAAATTATAGAAAGCCCCTTGTAGAGAAATAGGGCAACTGAAACTTCCAGTGCATGAGTACTTAGGTAAGCATTGGGTTAGTTGGCATTTGTTCATCTGAGAAAATTTCTCTTACCTTTTGGATTTGCCTTGGCTGGGATTGCAAGTTCTACTATTCAATCACTAGCTCAGATCCAAGTTGTCCCATCTAAAAGTAGTCAAGACAAAATCATTTTTAGCATGTCAGACTGACCAATCTGAAGTCTGAAGAGAAGGCTAAATTACAGCTCAGTTGGTTAAAGTCAAGCTGAACTTGTTGACTGAGCAAGACGAGACTTGGTGATAAACTGAGAGAACATGGCTGGACCAAGAAGATACTTCTGCAGCTAAGCAGGCTCCATATAACCTTTCTGATGCTTTCAGTCCTAGTTCTCAAAGCTCTTTACCATTAGATGGTCTGATTGTTTGCTGCACATCTGGAGATATCCAACAAGTTACTTCATCTGCTGGTAAATCTTATAAATCCTGGGCTAGTGCAGCTACATTCAGATTTTTCAGGAAGTACAGTGGTGGTTTAGTGAGGAGATGGTGCCTGGGTACCTATTAGAGAAGGTACTCATCTGTGACTACTAAACACACATTTGCTGGGCAGTTATGGACTAGCTTTGACCGTTGCAGGACTTCTGCTAACTCTCCAGTATTCTGGTTATCTGTGGTTTATTGTGGTAAAACAATGTGATAGATTTCTGTAGAAATAGAATCATAGAATCATTAAGGTTGGAAGAGACCTCCAAGATCATCGAGTCCAACCGTCAACCCAACACCACCATGCCCACTAAACCATGTCCCTAAGCGCCTCATCTACCCATCTTTTAAATACTTCCAGGGATAACATCCCTGTTAAATAACATCCATTTGACTAACAGTATTCAGTGTTTATATCTACTTAGAAATGCCTTGGTTTTATTTAGTATAGACATAGGTGTAGATTTTTTTTCCAAAACAGAAGTTACTGAAGTTGTGAAAAGATATGTGCGTCACTGATTTATGCAATCTTTTCTTATAGGAGCGATTGTTATGGAGCGACCTAATGTAAAATGGAGTGATGTTGCTGGCCTCGAAGGTGCCAAAGAAGCACTTAAAGAAGCCGTGATCTTGCCCATTAAATTTCCGCACCTGTTTACAGGTCAGAATTAAAGCATTTATTTGCTATTGGCCAGTCAGGACTGGCACCGGGGTCTGAGAGGGGTGTTATGCTGATGTGTCAGAGACTCAAGCTGAGCTCTTAGCAAAGAGATTGTGATCCATCTAACAGAAGATTCATGGCTAGATGTGGAAACCTCTGAGTAAATTAGAGGGGCTTCATCAGAAAAATACATTCAGTCTTTCTACAGTGTCTTGAAGACTGCTAGTTTCTCTCTTGCAGGAAAGAGAACACCCTGGAGAGGGATTCTCCTGTTTGGACCACCAGGAACAGGAAAGTCTTATTTAGCAAAAGCTGTGGCAACAGAAGCAAACAACTCTACCTTCTTCTCCGTATCTTCCTCTGACCTTGTCTCAAAGTGGTTGGGAGAAAGTGAAAAGTAAGTTGGAGTTGCTAGAGGTCCAGGAAAACATTGGCAAGAAGAAATTAATATAGAGCTAGATAAGTTGCTGTAAAGAAATTGAATTTGAGGGAAGGGTTCTGTCTTTTTAAAAACAAACTTCAGGTGTTTCTATGCTTCATGCTGCAGTGCTATGTAAAGATATCATCATGTGCTGCATTTTGTGCTGCTGCAGCTGGACTGCTTTTCAGTGCTCAAGATAGTTTTTAAAACTAGCTCAGAAAGGTTTTGGGAGCACCATGGAGCTCATTCCCCTTCTGAACTCAGCTGTGATTGCACACTACATCAGTCTGAAGTGTTGGGGTACTCTGCCTCTTGGCATCTCTCCACTCATTTGTCCCAGCAGCTGTGCCATTAACATGTGGCATTTTTTTGTTCGTATGGAGGTGTTTTTTCTTTATCCTGATTTCAAACAAAATCTGGAAGACATAAGAGACTTGCAAAAATAGGTTGAAGGAGAGGAGCAGCCATGAAAGAAAACTTCATGGTTGCCCATGCTAACTCTTCATTTGTTACTATGTGATATGTGAAGAAGACCCGGAAGCCTGAAGTGACGTATCGGCTGCCGTCTAGAAGTGCAGGAATTTGTCCGTCTAGGCTTCCAGTGAAGACTTCCTGAATTAAGAAAAAGCTCTGGGTTTGTTGTACAGAAAGGAGTTTCGTATGAGGATGAGAATACTTGTCAAAACCGTGCTTTAATAGTTTGAAGTGTGGGACAACTGAGCAACACTATTTAAAGTTGATAGGATGAGGGAGAAAGACCATTAGATGAAGTGTCCTTAAGCTGCTTTTCTTCTGTTGCAAAAGGAATACAGAACTGGAGTCCAGCTTGGCATTTTTTCTGTTTGACTTCATTTGAGACTCTTACATGAAATTTAGTGCTGGTAATGTGAAAAATATCCCAGCATGTTCCTATTTATTTTCCTTTTTAGCTTAGTAAAATGTGTTAATAAGATATGGATAGGGCTTGGGTTGGGTTTTTTTGGCAAACCAACTTTCCTTGTCATATAAAAAGTATTTAGTAAAGTTGTGTAAAGTAAATATACATGTTATTTCTTACAAAATCTCTAGAGTTAATCTGATTAGGCTACAAATCTTATGTAAGAGAAAGCCATGTTCTTTTGAATCTGTCTAGAGTGGTGGTTTTGTATAGTCCAGGCTGTCTTGTAGAAATGTAAACCGAAAAAGGGCTTTTTCCTGCAAAACCGTGCCTGGAGTACTCTAGAATGTTTCACCTCCCTTTATGCTGGGCTGTCTCACTCAGTGAGAGTCTTGGAGTAAGTAAGTAATGCAGAGTCTTGGAGCTGGAAGCGTGTTGTATCTTTGAATAGCTTTATGTTAATACTTTTTCTAGCTTTCTCTAAAGGAAGTGACTGTATCGCAATCTTAAGTTATGTGTTTTTACTGGTGTAATCATTAAGATAACTGAAGCTGTTTCCTTTTTTAAGATTAGTGAAAAACTTGTTCCAGCTTGCCAGAGAAAACAAACCTTCTATTATCTTCATTGATGAGATAGATTCCCTCTGTGGGTCAAGAAGTGAAAATGAAAGTGAGGCTGCTAGACGGATAAAAACAGAATTTCTAGTCCAGATGCAAGGTAAGTTTACTTGGTTTTCAGAATCAGGGGAATTAAGATACGTATTTTAAGCTTAGCTTGCATGAGAACACCAAAAAGACCTGCAGTTCCACCCCGTTAAATTCTGATGACATTTTAAACCAGTCTCTGTTTGTCATCTAAACGGTGAAATGATTTCTGCCCTGATATAGGGGTTGGTGTTGACAATGAAGGAATCTTGGTCTTAGGAGCAACAAACATACCCTGGGTTTTGGATTCTGCTATCAGGAGAAGGTATGATGCATTTTTTCATGGTATGAAATTTGCAACTGTTGTGAGGGTTCAGTCTGAGACTACTTGAGGTAGTAATCCAACTCATGATTGCAGACATGGCTAATGTTCTGCAACTCAATTCTATGAGACGGGCTGAGCCAAACTAATAGCCCCTTGCCCCTTTAAAGAGGTAGGTTGTTCACTCTCCTATTGGCCTGTAGTGTATTTGATCTCTTGGTTAGCTGATTGTGCTTGAGCAAGCAGAAAACTATTCCGTTTCCTTGTTGGTTCGTTTTCTGGTGGGCTTGGGAGACAAGTTACAAAATATGCACCTCAGAAGGGCAAGGGGGGGGTAGAGCTTTCCTTTTCAGCTGTTAACAAACTGTTGAACAGCTTGAGTTATTTTATGGAAACGTAGCCTTATGTTTCACAGAAACACCATATTTTTCTACTGGTCAAGCATAATTTGTGATCTTTCAGTGCATGTTTAACTGCTTTTTTGCAGATAAAGGGCTTCCATACCTGTATCTGATTAGCTGGATCTTTCTTTGAGCTGCAGAGCAGTAGAGGACAAATACAGCTCTGTGACAAGTATGGTTATGTTATGATGAGGACACAGTTTGGATAGCGGTCATTTTTGTAGGCTAAAGAAAGGTTACATTTTTTGTGACTGTCAGTGACTTTTATATATATTCTTAATTTAAGCTGGCCGTACTTTCACTGGGGGTTGGACCAGGTGACCTCCAGAGGTCGCTTCCAACCTATATGACTATAGTTTTGTGTGAGACAGATTTAGAGGTGAATGTGTTGCTTAAAATTTCAAGTCATTCTTGAGGTTCCAGCTCTGGGGTCCACAGTACAAGACAGACATGGACCTGATAGAGTGGATCCAGAAGGGGGCCATGAAAATGATCAGAGGGCTGGAACACCTCTCCTGTGAAGAAAGGCTGAGACTTGGGGTTGTTCAGCCTGGAGAAGAGAAGGCTCCAGGGAGACATTATTGCAGCCTTTCAACATATAAAGGGGGCTTACGAGAAAGACGGAGAGATGTTTGGGGTTTTTTACCAAGGCCTGTAGTGACAGGACAAAGGGCAGTGGTTTTAAACTGAAAGAGGGTAGGTTTAGATTGGACATAAGAAAGAAATTTTTTACGGTGAGGGTGGTGAGACACTGGAACAGGTTGCCCAGAGAAGTTGTGGACGTCCTCGTTGGAAGTGTTCAAGGTCAGGCTGGACGGGGCTCTGAGCAACCTGGTCTAGTTGAAGATGTCCCTGCCCACGGCAGGGGGGTTGGACTAGATGACCTGTAAAGGTCCCTCCCAACCCAAACCATTTTCTGATTCTCTGCAGTGTGAAACAGTAGCTCTCTAACTCTTGTCCATAAGACTTAAAGGAACTTGTACAACAATGGCAGTAATCAAATTAATCTTTCATGGATTTGGCCCACTCTGTCATGTATATCAAGTTAATTGTGTTCTACAGAATTTGGAGTCGCTCTTATTTTGTGGGTGGGAAGTAATCCCCATTGTGAGAACAGATGCTGCTTCAAAGCAAGAACTGCAGTTATCAACGTTTTCTACTGACAACTGTATTAATATGACTTCAAATTTGCTTCTAACTATGAAGTTTTCTTTAATTTAGTTGGAGACTGTAGAAAGTGGTTGTGTCAGCTTGTTATCAGGCAGTTCTTTCTTTGAATGTGAAAACTGTTCAGATATGCTTCAACACTTAAAGACTTTTTCCCCTCAATTTTTTCTCTTAAAACACAAACTCTGCTGGAGAGAATCTGGAAAAACTTCAGTCTGAAGAGAAGATCTTTGTCATGAAAAGGAAGTAGTTATTCTGGATGTTAGCTTATGCTAGCTACAGTATTACTTATGAGAACAGGTTGTTGAATATTTGCCTTAGATTTTTTTAAAGGTTTATAATACTGAAACTGCTTCTTTCTAATATTGCTAGGAATAAGCTATACATACTTATTTGCATAAGCTGCTTTCTACTGTGCACCTGCATGAGCTAGCATCTGTGGAACATTGTGGGTTTGTTTTTTTTTTAAACCAGGTTTGAGAAGCGTATTTATATTCCTTTACCTGAAGACCATGCCAGAGCTGCAATGTTCAAACTTCATCTTGGGTCAACTCCAAATCTCCTAGAGGAATCAAATTATCGAGAGCTTGGAAAGAGAACTGATGGCTATTCTGGTGCAGATATAAGCGTCATTGTACGTGATGCACTGATGCAGCCTGTTAGAAAAGTGCAGTCAGCTACTCACTTTAAAAAAGTAAGTAGGAATCAAAAGTTTTTTGAGTTATTTCATCTCTGAGAACTATCTTAATTTGAAAGTTCCTTGCAAGTAAACTGAATTTGGGTTTGGGTAATACTGCACGCTTATGAATGTCCTTTTATTGAGCAGGGAACGTCCTCCTCCTTTTTTTTCTTTCCCCCATCCCCCCTCGGTCCTCCCATGAGTCTGGTGGAGCTAGTTTCTGGGTACGTATTCATGCTGTGTAATCCAAGCTCTGATGACTCTTCATGTCTCTAGGTAGTGTTAAAAGCATTCAGTTTGAAGTTTGACTTAAATGGGAATGTTACGGCAGTGCTCTTTTTCTGGATCAAGTTACGTGGTTCTTCATGTTTTTTAGCGTGTTGAAATAAATGTATCCTTTATCCACATGGGAACAGATGGATTATAATTATGCACATTGTTTACTTGGCATAGTTTTTTGAACTGAAAAATTAAGGTTCTTGTAAAGTTCTGGTAAAAACATTGAATCAATGTTACTTACAACAGGAGTAAAGATGAAAGACAACTGAGCAAGGTCTGTGTTTCATTGTTCGGGCAGCATGCGGCATCCTATGGATGCTGCTGTAATGTGAAAACTAGTTTACACTTACTTAGGTGCACCCTAAAGAGACTATTGAAACTATATTGTTTGGCTTATCTTGCAGTTACCTCTGCATACTATGTACTGACTTAAGAAATACTTCTTCTAAATGTTTGGATCTCAAAAACTTTATCTGACAAAGAACGAACTAGAGTTCTTCAGCACCAATCTAAATCCATTAAATCTGGGAATGCTTTTTTTCCCCCAGAGAACTTGCACATATGGGTCTTGTTCAATCAAATTAATTGTTCTCTATAAATTCCTAAGCTCTTAAATGGGAAAAAAGTGTGATAATGTTATCAATGGTTATAAAGAGTTCCAAATACGTACAACATGTATCGGTTAAATAAAATTATATTTTTCCTGTGTAGTATTTTTTTTAGAGTAGACCCACACTAAAAGTATTTTTTCTTTACATTTTTACTGCAAACTTTGATTTTTACAGAAATTGATATATCTTGGGTGAAGGTGCGTCGAGGTATTCCGCAGAAGTTTTTGCTGCTGTAAAGGGAAGCGTTCATTTGTTGCTCCTTAAAAGAGTAGGAGTGGGGTTGGGTAAGGTAGGAAAAATTTCAGATCCTAAGCTGTCAAGAGATACATACCATGTAAGTTGTGTTGGCAGCAGTTCTTGGTCACCTCAATTACAATTTTTTTACCAGTAACTCAGCCTGACATAAAAGGGTTAAGGGCCCTAAACTGAACAGCTGCAGTTGTTTTGAAATTGAAGGTAGCCTTTTTTTTCCATGTAGTTTCTTCCAAGGAACACATTCAGCTTAAGATTGGAAGAGAAAGGAACACTTAAATCCAATATGGTCCAGAGTATGAGAGGACTACGTAAGTTTCCGGAGTCTGCATTGAGGAAACCTTTGTCAACTTTGTAGTTATTAAAATAAACCTGCAGCCTGTCATTTTGGTGAAGGGCGGAGGGGAACCCAAAACATTTTAAAGGGTTTTTGAGGAGCTTTTCCCAGTTTAAAAACAAAATGCATATTCTGAAACACTGATTTGATAAGTTTCTTCTGGGGGCAACTCAGCAGTAACACTCTGATATAAACTGTATTTGTTTAAAAATAAGCAGCTGTTTTGATATATCAAGGATTTCCTAGATGCTTCCTTCCCTTCAGCAGTGATGCTTGAAGTATTTATCCGTTGTTGACTTTAAGTGACAATGACATTTCTGGCTAGAGGGCTGTTACCTTTTAGCCTTTCAAATTTGGAAGAATCTGAGGCATGTCTCAGACTACCATGGAGCAATGAAATAACCTCAGATGTCACAGTTTGCGGAGCAACCCAAAAGCAATTCTTACCTCTTACCTCCTTCTGCCCCCAAAAAAGAAGGAAAAAACGCCACAACTGCAGTACTTTGAGGGCTCTGACATAAGCCAAGTTGATTCCACTTGTGTTGCTAGTACTTTAATTGGGTGTGATTTCCCATTTTTATAAGCAAAATCTTAGCTTTATTAATTGTTTGCATCATAACAGACAACTTGCTCCAGTTAAACAGTACTTTTCTCAATTATTACCAGTTCCCTGTAAACCAGTCCTTGCTCTATGTGATAATACAGGTTTGTCAGGGTGCATTGTGAGTATTACAATCTGTGCTCTTCAGCATCATGCTTTAAATGCACTAGTTAAATGGAATAGCAAATGAAGCTCTCTGCTGTTAAAAATAGCCAGTTAATGTGTTGTCTTTCAATCTTTGCTTGTGTTTTGAGTTCCTGTGGATGTGTGATGCTTCAGGTAACGATGAAGGAAAATAAAACTGTGGGTCCCGGATAGCCTGTTGCAGAAAGGGAACAGACACCTGGTGTAGCTTTTTTGGGTCTGTCCATGTGTCTGGAAAAAAAAGATGGTTTCTGTTCTCCCACTAGATGGCCCTGTTTTCTATCGAGTGCTGCTGAGGTGGTGTCAGAAAAGGTGCTGGGAACTTCGTAGTGCAGTATGGCAAAGATTAAAAAGCCATCTCTGGCTTCCTGACTTGAGGGGCACTCAAGGATAATTACTGCAAAGTTTTTAGAAAGCTCTTAACCAGTGAGGAATGGACTCCCAAAGTGACCAGGGACTAGGAAGGGTGGTCTTCTCCAACTAGATTTCCTGGCATGTTAGTTTTCCACAGAAATCCTCAGCCTTAGGAGGAAGCGGCTCCTGGGATTTGACTTGATGTGAATATAAGTATCTGGCTACAGCTGCATGTTTTCAAAGTGAATGACACCAGTACATTTATACGATTTCTCTTTCACAGGACATGTCTTTCCAATGGGTAGGACACCTGTATAAAACCAAGGAATGTTTTTGCTCTAAAGATGCTGTTCAGCTTCTGGGTTTTGTCTTTAAAATTGTAACTCCTATAAACTGAGTATTTTCTTATTTTTAGGTAAAAGGACCATCGGTGTCTAATCCAAATACGACGGTAGATTTGTTCACCCCTTGCTCTCCAGGTGATCCTGAAGCCATAGAAATGACGTGGATGGAGGTTCCAGGCGATAAATTACTGGAGCCTCAAGTTTCCATGGTAGGTGTTCTTTTGGAGCATTTCTTTCTTGCTTTGCAGAACTCTGAAAAGACTTTAAGGTAAAGACCGTTTTTCAAATGGTTATGCAAGGCAATTGGATGAGTTGTTTGGTTTCAGAAATCCTGGACATACCAGATAACATTTGAATTCCCAACATACAGCGCTACAGTACAGCATGCTTGTGAAAAAGCCAGCTCTCTATCCCTGATAAGCATTTCTTTCTTATTGCTCTTGTCTGCTGGCATGCAGCGGCTGCCCTTTCATCCATAGCCAGCACCTGGCTCTTCCATTGTTCTTTCACTTGTCTTTTACTCATTTAAAACCTTCAGAATCCCTGCCCCGTGATAGGCTTCCTTCCCATCACTCTGTAGCATTAATGTTGATATTGGGAAATGGAAAATTATATTCAGTGTAAATTGGGAAGTAATGTGCTGTATGTAAATATTGCCCATGAAATAAATGCAAGCATAAACAATAGAACGTAAAAAAGATGGTGGTTGTAATTGTAGCTTTGGTTACATTTCATTACAGATGGTACAGCTCTTTCAGCTGTTTTCTTTGTGCATGTTAAAATACTTGCTTTGGTCTAGGAGATAAAATGTGTCATTTTAAGACAAACTGAAATTTTAGTTCACTGTTTTGAATTTAAAAAAAATTTGCTGTACACTCATTCTGTATTTTTCCCCAAGAGCAACCAAAGAAGATTCTGAATTTAAGTAAAATGTTTGAGGGAAGGACTTGATATCACATCTGTGCTGCTGTCAGTTCTTGTGTGCAAACAGTCCGGTAAAGAATGAAAGAAATCAGTGTATTTCATGGGAATCACAAACCTCTCAAACAGTAGGCACTGCTTTGTAAATATAACCGTTGCTATAGTTCAGAAAAGAATTTTCTGTGCATATTTGCATACTGAGGAAGCACAAAAGGATGTATGCAGGTGTAGGCCTGCCCTAAAACTTCTGCGTGCATGGTCTAAGTGGATTTTTAATCAGTCTTTCCTGGAATTAAACATAACAATTCCTTGTGTGCTCCTAATGGTACCTGGACTCTGATGCATATAGTTGCATAGGCAGTTGTTTCGGTGTCCAAAATCAGTTCTTGTCCTTAAAAAGATCAGGCTTTAATTCTTTCTAAGCAGGGTATCTCTAGTCTGAGACAAATCTCAAGTCTAGAAAATCATGATGTTAACTTCTGGTTTTACCCGTAATTTTATAGTAATATGAGGTGTTACTTTTTTCAGTTGCCTTTGGCTAGGACTCGATTAGTTTTCTTGCCCCTTTTTATTCATAGGGTGTTTTAACTGCCGCTTTCAACTTCATAGACCTTGCGATTTTTCTGAACTCCATTTCCTAGTATCTGAATATTTATCTAGGAAACTGACTGAACTGAAGAGACAGAAATTACCAGTCATAAACAGTAAAACTTTGCTAGAGATGAATCACAAACTACTGGTCTGTATTGTTGGACTATGAAGAGTACATGGGAACATCTGATTATTTTCCACTTTAACCTCCTGTAGATAAAGATGGGTTGAAAAGAGTAACTGACCAAAAAAAAAGGAGGTTCAGTTCTTTTCAGTAAAAAGAGATGAATAAAACTTGAATGGATGAGTAGCTTAAACCTAAACCTGAGGTTGTGGTTTTGTTATGAGAACTCGCTGACAGTTGTCTGTCTTCACAGGGTTAAAATGCTGCCTCTGTGCAGACATGTTTAGGCTTACTTAAAAGTTTTGTGCAAATAGGAGCTCCTATAGTCATCTTGTTTTAATGGGCTTCTTAATGCATATTTGTCTTGGCAACAAGATTGTTAGCAGCGGTACTATACTTGTTTCTGAAAAAACACTTTTTTTTCCCGTTTTTTTTTTCTGGCAGGACGATATGCTCAGGTCGCTAGCTAGCACAAAACCAACAGTTAATGAACAGGACCTGGAGAAGTTAAAGAAGTTTACAGAAGACTTTGGTCAGGAAGGCTAAACCAAAGATATTTGTGGAGCATTAGAACTTTTTTTTGCTTTCTTAAGTATTCTTGTATCTTTATTGATGGCACTTCAAATAAATGCCAATAAAATCACTCCTTTCTTCCTTTGCAGAGGAATAGAAGATGCCTGTGCAAAGACCCTTAAGCTTTTGTATCGTATTGTTTTCCTCAGATGTCTATTTAAATGTCTTCTATTGAAAAATAATATGAAAATACAATTTTAGGGTAAGACAGCAAAGCGATGTGGTAAAGTCTATTAAATACTAGAAAACTTTAAATGATGAGTTCATTTTTAGGTATTATATTAGACCTCGGTACAGGTGAGTTTTAAATTCCCAGTAGGCTCAAAAAACCCTTTTTTGAGGGGTGGAAGAGAACATATTTGTCGGGTGTTTTCAGTATCAGTCAATCAGCCTACATATTAATTGCTCTCATTTCACTTAGAAAAATGCAACAAAATTTGCTAATGAAGCATACTGCAAGTGTGGGTTTGCTATTAAAGTAAGAAAGAGAACACTGTGAGGATAAGACTACACGGGCCAGTACTTTGTTTAAATACTGATGAGACTGGTATTTGGCTTTTCCTGCTACGCTGTGTTAAAATTTTGCCTTAAACAGCAAGCTTTTGTTTTTAACTCTGCTAGCTGGTACACACGTGTTGCTGTGCAATTTAGCAAAAGTTTGTTGAATGCAAGTATCTCGGAAGGCTTTCTGCCAGCTGTTCTTGGTTTTTTTAAATTTGGATTTACTTTCTGCAGGAGTTTGACTAAAGTTAGAAAAAAGCATCAGTAATATCCTGTAAGATTCCACATGTCGAGGCTGGCAAGGTATAGGTACGCTTCGGAGAATGTATGGGAGGTATTTTGGGCAATAGCGTACTTTCACACGCGAGGAGAGTGTAACGGATATTTTAGCCACAGGCTTCCCAGTGACAAATTAACTCCGAACCCTCCTGATAACTATTGCATATAGGTTACGTCAATTTAGTGTTTAAATTTTGCGAGAAGGCTGGCACTTTAGTACAGAAGTAGCAATTCCGACGATCTTTTTTCTGAAGAGCTACAAATTGAGATGTGCCTGAATGTAACTTAACAACACTACAGTGTCAGCATTGAGTTTGTGCCTTGTAAGTTTGCACTGGCTGTAGATACGAAACATCATTAGGATACCTAGAATACTCTTATGTTCCATTATCACTGTACAACTCTGTCCTGCATATGCTTTGTTTAACTTGCATTAAAAGAAATCTGCACATTTTGTGTGCGTATATGTACATATACACATATGATTGTCTTTTGATGGGGTTTGGTCTCCTCTATGTACATATTTTGTGTACTTTATAAATCATAGGATGGGTGAAATTTGCTGTACTTAAATGAAGTAAAATGTTACAGTACAACATCAGCATCTTTGAGTATTTCTTTGATGTTACGTTCAAGAATTTACCGCTTGATTTTTTTTTTAGACTTTGGTTTCTATGCTTAACAGCTAAACAAGCTACTTAGTTAAAAATTCTTTGATCTGTAAGGTGCTAAGATTTTGTTTACTAACATGATGAAACATTCTTTCTGAAATCGTTTAGTTACACACAGCTTTACCTTTGTCTTACGTTGGAACACGTAAATGTGAATCAGTGGACTGCAAATCTTTTCGTGGACCTTTGTGGGGGCGGGGGAAGGGGGGCAGGTACTCCAGTGTAGGTACAGGCAACTACGGTTAGTAAACCTAATCCTAGTTGCAACAGGATTGCTTTTTCTTAGTTGCCTCTTGTGAACTCTTTAGAAGTGAGCCACATACTTGGCAGGGCTCTCGCTCAGAGGTTTGAAGCTACTATCCGAAGTATTTGTCTCTTGACCTTTTTAAAATGAGAGTCCTTACTGCAATCTTAAAATTCTCAGGAACTTTTTTTTTGTGGTAGGCTGATTGGTCCTACGGGTTTCCATAAGCTGAACTGTGTAATCCCTTGTCTTTAACGTAGAAGAAAAGTATACTGTATGTTTTAAATTTACATCTTGCTGCTTACTCAGTTGTGGGATGACATCTGTAACAGAAGCATTAATGTTTGATGTTTAAAGTTGTTTATTCCAAATAAACATTGCTGCTTAGAATTGCAGCTACAGGGACGACTTTCTGGTTTGCTATCTTTGTAAAATGGGTATAAATTAATATATATCGCAGAGCTTCCTAGCTAAGTTATCCCAGAACAGATGATAGCCAAATGGGGGGGAGGGTGTGAAGGGGCTGCGAAATCACTTTTTAGTTTTCAGTGTTAATAAAAAATACTCTAAATGAAAGAATTTATGAAAGATCATATTTGCTTTACATAATCAAAACCTCTGTAAATACCAGCTAAATTAGTTGTGCATTTTTCATAAGGTCTGATGTATGACTTGTTTTTGGCTAGTTAGCTTACAATTTTTTTCCCCTGACTTCTGGTGTTACTGCTTACTCTGACTGCAATATGAAAAAATGTCATTTTCATTCCTTCCTGTGGTAAAATAGTTTTTCAATTAAATCAGTTGTGTATGCGCTTGTTGTGTTTGTCACAATGGTTTCTTCACATTGCAATTAAACTTTGTATTTCCTGTCACTTGTGGTATACATCTCAATGCATATACTCATGGGGTTAGAAAAGCTCACCAAATTAACTTGTTACCTTTTTTTTCCCATGTTGCCTGACTAACCTAAAAAAATTGCAGAGTCTTGTTTCTTCCCTGATTTACCCATTGGCTTTGTTTTGCCATCCTCTAGCACAACGAAAACGTACGAACCTCCTTGTAAGTTTTTGATCGGTTTTGTTTTTCAAATTATCTGCTGGTCTTCGAATATGCTTTTGTTTTAATTAGTGGAGCAGAACACATGTGGCTGAGGCAGATACTCTTGAATCAGCTTTTGTTCATGCTCCTGTCTGTCAGGGGTGTCTGGTCATAGTTTGCCCTTTTATTCAACTGAAGCAAAAAAGCTGCTGAATGTTCTCTGGTCAGACATTTTGATCTACTTTTTGTGTTTATTTAGTCTTCCTCCTACTAATATATTCTGATATTTTTTCATGTTATTTCTGAGGATTATCTTGGCAGGAAGCTTTCCAATAGTTCTGAATTTGCTGAAATAATGCGGGAACATCTTTATTTTACTGTTTACTCTTTCCTTCCTCCAGAATGACAAGCTTGTTTCACGATTGGCTTCCATACATGTTTTTGGTCTTAACCAGATTCATCCTAGTAATCATGGCTGACTTAAAGCCATTGCCATAACTTACGTAAACTATTGCAAGAACTTGGTGGACCATTTCCTACTGTGCTGCTCTTCCAACAGATGCTTAATTCTTACCAAAGCATTGTGCCTTTTATTCTTGAGCAGGTAGCTTTTGTTGTAGCTCTTGTGGCACAGCTCCAGTGCTTTCCCCTTCGATTTTTCTTTAGCTTTTTATTAACAATAGTTTAATGATTTTTTTTTATTCCACAAATCCTCTGTCGTCATAATTAGCTGTGTAAAAACTCTTAATTGTTCGTTCATCCTCTGTCCTGACATTTGTGCACTGACAGCCCAGGTATTAGATAAGCTTGTCCTGTTATTTGTCTTTTGGTCCCTGTGACCTAATTACAATTCTTCCTCTCCCTCCCTACCTCTACATAAACACACGCCCTTCTGATGGTAGCTTTTTGACTAGGTCACTGTTTTGTGCCATTTTCTGTTTGCTCACCTTTGCATCCTTTAGCCTACCTAAGAGGCTCCAGCTTGATGAATGAACACTCAAGGATACTTCTTCCCTTCATCACATCGACTCAGTGTTTGGGGACGCCAGAGTCCATCTGTCCGTACCATCTGTGCACGGTACCTGCCACGTGTACAATCTGCTAGTCTTTTGCAGAAATACTTGACATTGTAGGGCTCGCTTATTTGGACTTCTCAACCATTAGCCATGAAAACAAAATATGATGTCCTATCTGCATCACAGCAGGAGCTAAGTTCTCTTCCAAAAGGCTTTGGTTGTGTTTTGAGACATCTCCAGGAAATAAGCCACCGACACCTGAGCACAGGTCTGATGTTGATAATGGAGCCAGGGATTTCTTTCCTGCTTGGTGACCTATTACCAGGCACTGTGCCATGAATTGGCAAGACTTGCTTTTGCTTGCCCTCCCTCCTCCTCTGCTGCCTCAGCTAATTTAAATCTAAGCTATTCAAGGCAGGGACTTTGCTTTCAAACATGCTTAGTGTCACATGTGTTCTGTAAACTATAAACAATAATTTCCTCTGACTCACTCTATTGTCGGCTGATGACCGTCCACAAGTAATTTGTTACAAAAATCTCGGCTGGAGTAGTTGCCTTCTACTACTGCTCCAACAATGTCTTGGCAATAGCGAGTCAGCTAGACGAGGGACTGAGAAAGCTGCTATAAATATCACCATCTCATACAGGAAATAGAGTGGCAAATGAGGACTGTTACTTCTAGCTGTGACTTGGGCTCTGGAAGAGTCAAGTGAATTCTTTGCCCAAGAGAAAGCCAGGACAAAGGGAAAATTCAAACCGTACGAATTCAAATGATCGCTTCTCCTTCCTCCCCTCCTTGAAGACTGGAGCGTAGGCTGGAGCTGGGAGGCTCTGACCTGTCAAGGCCTTATTTTTGCGTAAGAATTTAGAAAATCTGAAAAAGTAGCTGACTACTGTTTTCAAATGTGCCATTTAAAATGCCAGTTGAAATGCTCATGCTCTTGCCTGGCTGAGCCTGAGCTCACTTTGGAGTTCTAATGACGTTTTAATGAATCAATCACAGCCATGAATTGCTCTGTACACAACCAAACAGCAAAGCAATTACTGTTTTTTTTTTAATCTTTACACCTGCTCTTGTTTTGGCCTGGTCTTGTGTGTTCATGTCCACCCTCGCTCTGTCTCTATAATTTAAAAATGTTTCCTTTTTTAGTTAGTGTTTACCTGCCCGAAAACCTCATGCCCATGATGCACGTGTCCACTGTGAGTATGGAAACAAGCAGGTGGCCTGCCTGCCCGACAGCAAAGCTTGTGCAGTTGCAGCACAGCAATAGTTTCACGGGAGCCACAGGGCGTGCTGACAGAGCCCGACATCTTCTCTGTCCTTCATCTTCGCTGTTCCTTCACCAGCTTCAGGACAGAGAAGGGATGCCCGTATAAACAGATACTGTCATTGCCTAAATGCACGCAGAGGGCTGTGGTGCACCTGCATAGCCGTATATGCGAACGCTGGTTACAGACACCTCAAAAAGGTGCGTGTGCCTGTGTGATGACCCACCAAATGCGTAACGCGTAGTCACTGCAAAGTTACCAGCACTTGTAGCACTGCGAGGTGCCTGCTCCTTTCAGGTTTAGATGGGCTCGGTCCAGCAGGGAACGAAGTTGTTGGAGCGTTTGTGGGGGTTTTTTTGGGGGGAGCATAGTGGTGGTGTTCTTCCTGGGCAGTCTGAGGCTCTACACAGGGTAAATGTGTCTACAGAGACACGTATGGGGTGAGGGACACCGGTTTGTGCCTCAGATCTCCTGTAGCTGGCACAGAGTGGAAATGGACTGGTGAACCAGGGCAGTGATGCCGATGCTCCAGGCTCCTATGGGGTTTCCGTCCCAGGTGTCAGCTGTGTGGAACAGTTTCCACAAGCTTTGTGGCTATCATCAGGCTTATTCTCTTGGGCCTTCTTTTGTGTAAAGCGTGCTCGCCTCACCACAGTGGATACTGGAAATGTGTGAGGCCTCTCAGAAGAAGAAAAAGGTTTCGATGAGAATTTTCCTTTGATGCGAAATGTTAATTGGCAATCTATGCCTGCCTCTTTCCTATTGCTTTTGGGTAGTCTTCTTTTTTTTTTTCTTCTTTCTAATGTTGATTTCTTTTTTTGTATGTGTGACTTCACACTTGTTTTTTTTCTTAAATGGAAGACAAGGCACCGATTCCTTTTAAAATGCTATTTCAAAGCTCTTTCTGTTCTTCCGTTTCTCCAGCTTTTCTACCAAAGCCAGCCTATTCGCAGCAAAGCAAAAGCTGACGGAGTCTCTCCGATTTCCCTTTTTCCCTTCAAAGCGACAGGGCCCATCTGTACACACTGTCCTTTCCCTGGCTGACAGCGGGATGGCAATGGGCTGCCCTGTTAGAGGATGGAGGCAGACTTGCAGGAGCACAAGCAACTCCAGTGTATTTGATGGCAATGCAAGGGGGAGCGTCCTGGTTTCGGCTGGGATAGAGTTAATTTAATTAACCATGACAGGGAGAAACGGCTGAAAGTGGAAGTTTCCTTGTTTCAGCAAGCTATTTTGAGGACAGAGGAGAACTGAGCTATGTACAAGAGATCTTCTAAATTTCCATTGCGTAACAGCCACTTCTCTGCAGTGCATGCCAAAGATAATTTATCAGGGATTGATAACAAGGGCAGACGTTGTGTAA